TGCCTTAATGTCGCGTTTTTCAATCGTTGCCTCAATTCTAATGAAAGATCAGGTTCCGCTGCTAACTGTTGAAGTGTATATTTCGATACGTGCAAATCAGAAATCCATTCTTGTCGCTGATTATATCGCTTCCTTTTGTCATGATCGGATAATGTTTCATATGCACGGCATATTTTTCGGAATTGTTCAGCCGTAATCGTACGATTTGCAGACGATTTCTGTCGATCTGCTTTGAACTGATGAATCAATTTAAGATATGCGTTACGCAATTGTAAATCGTTACTCGTTTCAGCCACTCCAAGAATGCTGTATGGTGTGATAGCTGATGAAGCCATATTTTGTTGCCTGTTTACTTTGCTACGAAAAGGTAATGTGTGTCGGCGAATGTAGTAAGAGTCACGTTTTTGTTATGTTTCTTCTACTCTTTCTTGCATCCGCGGTTCTCTTTCTAACAAAGAAGTCTTTTCGTCTTCCTACGCTTTTTCTTTTCACCTAAACACAATACGGCGACATCTCCAAATTGAAGAAAGAAAAATTGCGTTGGCCATATATTCCATTTTGCAATTTAAACAATAACATTTATGAGCACATTTTTTATTATTCTTTTTCATATAATGACTTCCGAGTAGGCATGCATCACATCCAGTAAACTATCGTCAGATTTTTTAAAAATGTCAACCACCATTTTTTGAATGACTTTCGATCTTTTATAACTATTAACGTCGGGCTTTTGTTATTAGATAGAGCTATGTTAGAGACACCTATCTGTGTAACATTTACTAAGTTCGAAGAAATTTTCCAGGAATATTTGAAAGTGAACAGTTTTTTCGTTGTTCATTTCTACAACCGTTCGTAACAACCTAGGCTAAAATTACACCAAAATGTAGTCCAAAGAGAGCCAGATTACGTATAAAATTTCCAGATATCAGAACACTTCTCTTGAAGCATGAGTTCAGGGTGAGGATTAAAAAAAAATCAAACAATTATACAGGGAATACAACACTTTTCGGGCTAAATTTTGGTGTACTTTAAGCCTAGATTGCTACGAAAAGTTGTCGAAATTAACAATGAAAAAACGTTCATATGCAATCATTCGTGAAAAATTTCTGCGAACTTAGTGAATGTTACATAGGTAGACGTTTCAAAAATTGCTGTATCTAACGGCGTAAACTTAACTTCGATAGCTATAAACTATTGAAAGTTGTTCAAAAAATGGTGTTTGGCATTTTTAAAATATCCGACAATAGATACTCAGTTTACTGGTTAATCAGTTAACTGGTGCCAATTTAGTTGGTGTAGTACTCTCTGATTTTTTCAGGTCAATTTAATCAATTGAGTCTAATACAATGAGAATACTGGGAAGTATTGATAATTTTTCTTTGTCACCTACTAATTTCTTATCGATAGATGGCTGAATCGCTAGTAGTTGTCATTTACAAAATAATCTTCTCTTGATCAATAAGATTTTTCTGGCATTTCAATTCACAATCAAAGTTATTATGTTATAATCTGTTGATTTCTAACGGTCGCTATGTTAACTATTTGGCTATCATATCTCGTTCATTATTTCTGTTGATTAGAAGGGCTGAATGTAGGTATGTAGATTAGTGTGGGTATTTGGAGTGTGGATGAATATAAGGGTGAGAATGTGAATATATTTATTCTTTTTGCCGATACTCTGGCCGCACACTCACCTCACACTCAAACCCACACCAGATGCATCTAACAGCTACTCATTTGATGCTTTTGTCGAAGTCCACATGGAATGTGTAAGAATAAAGGATAATGCTGTGCTCACTGCAAGTACTTATTAAAGTTATATGCAAGAAGCATCGATAAGAAAAAGCAGGACTTTTTTTTCGATACTTTTTGTTCTGCTGATTTCTAAGTGATTGTTACTGATTTTTTCAGCAGAACTCATAGTATAGGGGTTTTTCTATGTACTCTATTGAATGAATATGTCGAAAATGACTTCTGAGGGTTTTTGGAGATAGTTTTTGATGCTTTTGATATTCATTGGGAATTGGAAAAGCAGGATTTTTTTAAAACTTTGCAGGTTTGATGGGAAAACGCACTAAAATGAAATAATCTTGTAAAAACCAGATGGAAGTAGTGTTATTTGCACATACGTTTTGAATGAAGAAAAATCGATGAAAAGGATTTCTTTTTGGTTTGTTTTGGCTAGGGTATAGCCGTATACAGTAGTCTACGATTTGGTTGCGGTGGTAAACATTGCTATATTTTATCATGTGTTTCTGAAGTGCGGCCGTCTTATGACAGTGTTGTAGCGTAGACTGTTGTAATTTTCTGCCATAAACAACACGGCGATTCACGACTGTAGTACAGTGCATATTAAAAAGTTCATTTACGGCTTGTATACGGGCGTATGTTACTCGTTTACGCTAGTTCACAACATCATAAACGTCCGTATACGATCGTTTATGATCGTCCTAATGCTCAACCTGGGTGCACTTTTTACGATTTTTAAAAAACTTTTTTCGAAAAAGCAGCAAGTTCAAAGACGCTGCCGCTCCATAAACTTTGCTTTTTGAAAAATAAAAGTCGTTTTTTTCGCATCCTTTCAGCATAAAAAGACAGCATTTTGACGCGAAAAAGGGCATTAAAATGATCCGTTGTGCACCTCGTTTATTCTATATTAAGATGATAATGCGATCAATTCTGTCCATCAATATTTTTATTACTCCTCGTTTTGAAAAATAAAATTAGATACATCCATTATTTATCGCTAACTGGATTTTTTTCTAGAATAATATCTACTTTGCTGTAAGAATTATTCTATGATAAATATTTTCTTCTATGAAAAATAAAGAGAAATCATATTTATTAAGAAGGTCCCTAAGTCGACCATTACAGACTCTGTAAACGATCACTTGTGGTCGTATACGACCACATACATATCATATACGCTCCATCATATATGTCAAACCTGAAAATTGAAGTCAATAATTGAATATCTGAAATTAAGATATTCAATTATTGGACTTGGTTATTCGCGGAAATCTACACACAAAGAATCTCTCTCATTGAGAATGTCACAGGATCGTACACATCTGGCATCTATCTCGACGATGATATCACAGAAATACATCTACGAGGCAAAATCAGAATATTCAAATATTTCAAAATGTCTTCAATAATTGAATTGAACTTTCAGGTTTGATACTACTGTTCCCACCCACCGCAGGTTATCATTTTTAGAAGCAAATCTTTACCAACTTATTTGTTGAAATATTTCTATTCTAAGAGAGAATAAGACCAAACAAAATAACTTTGTTTTATATGAAAATAATGAATGACAGAATCCATACATGATTAGGTTTAGGAATGTATTAGATTTAACGGTAGGTTTTATCGTTATTTGTTGTTCATTATATGTATGTTTTGCTCTTGTTTTCAATAGATTTATTTTGTGAATTGTTGTGTAAAAATCAAAGAATAATATTTTCCTCAAAAACTTTGTTTTAGAATTAGACATCAGAAAAGAGAATTTTAAAATGCTATATTTTATCCTTAACAATAATCAACATATTTCATACATGAGTTTAAATTTCAGGTTTGATATGTATAACTTACGTTGTGTTGATGCATCATTATTAACGGCAAAAAAAATAGCTGACCGCCGTTATCACGAACAATTTTTCTTAAAAAGATTTTGTATGTCTTTTCTTCAATTTATATACTCTTTTGTACAAGATAGATTTGAGAATGCTATAGCTAGTATATTTAAAAGAGATCCTCAATGATTTTTCGACTGATATCCTATTTAGAATGTATTTTTGAGAATCTTATAGCTAGTTTGATAGAGAAGACCTTTGGAGGGTTTTTCTGGATACGGTATATTCCCAGTATGTTTCCGGAAGAATGTGATATGATTCCAGTGTGTTTCCGCACGGATAAGACTCTACTCTAGTACGTTTTCGTTTGGATCTGGTGCAATTCTTTGATATTTGTTCGATAGGGGGAAATGTTTGGAAGCTGTCGATTTGAGTACGGTAATTTTTCGGCTGGAATACTGCTTTCATATTCTGTTTATTTTTCTGATCGGAATGAAGCGAGAACATGGGCGAATTTACTGGAAAAAAGGACCGTTTCCTGTAGGTTTCTGTCGTATTCGAATTCCGGAATCATCGACCTGGGTAAATCATGAGTACACATTCAGTTGCGAAATGAGTACAAAAATTAAAACGAAAGTATTTTTAGAACTCGCTGCTTATACAACTCTCCGACAATGTCTATGGCAATACAATTGGTATTCAAGATAACCTTTTTCCTCAGTTTATCCTACATAATGAGTGCACAGAAGCTAGCTACAGAATGACTGATACGTCGGGTCGGATCAATGAAAAATCAGTAAGAAATTCTATAAATTAGATCTTGCCAAGAAGAAATTTTCATGTAGTGTTGATTTTTCAAGCGGATTCAACTTGTTAATATTATCAGTTGCACGTCAAAATGTAAAACAAAATCATGAAAATTCAAACTTTTTTTTGAAAAAAAGTCACTATTCCTCTAATTCAGTATTAAATACAAGCGACTGGTTTTATCTGAACAAAGCACACACACACTGTTGTAAATATCATGTGCCAAAGAAAAACTCGGAACAAAAACGTAAAAAGCAAAACATGTAATATCTTGAATATTATATTTTCTGCTATAAATACACAAGATATTTTGATAGAAATATCTCATTTAATGTGTTGAACCAGTTGTTACATTTTAAAATTTCCATCATAAAAATCCTAGTTTACTCAGGTATCGTAACATTCATGTTGCATCGTGTATTTTATGTTTCCTTTTATAGTTATATAATGATGACTGGCGAAATCTATCGGGTGTATTATTTAACATGGTTTCTTTTTTTGAGGTCTGTTGCCTAACACACTCTCGTTTTCAATCATGATTAATGTCTGCTGTTTAGATAATACCGTAATTCGACTCTTCTGTTGTTTGCTGTTGCTATTGAATGATTGACAGAAGTAATGCTTCGCTCCCCAAATAGTGTTCGAGGTCAACATCAATCAACATCAAGTATTTATAACTACAAAACACTCAATGAAATGGAAATGAGGACGATAAGTACGAGAACATCACATCAACCATCAATAATAGATAGTCAGACATCGAATAAATATAATGAAACATTGAAAACATCACTTGCTGATCGATCTTTATATCTTCCTTTACATCGAATGTTGAGTAATGTTTCTTTATACGAAATGATTATTGAAGGAAAATGGAAATTTCGGGCATATGAAGATGATAGTTTTCGATTCAAATCAATGGGTATTGAAAATTTAGTTTATATTTGTCATGATATTATGAATAAAACACTTGAAATAATGAAATTAAAACAACGAAACCAACGAATATCTTCATCAAGTTGTGAATCATGGCCGATAGTAAATCTTGATACTTTCAAAATATTGACAGATGCTGATCGTGCTTGTCTTAATCGTGTCCATATATTTGCTCTGATGACAATTATCTTTGAAGCAACATCGACAAAGTCTTTAATATCTGAATCTGTTCGTATTTGGGGTGAAGCTTCTGAACATGTCAATTATCAAGATAGTTTTTCTAAATCTCATAATCAACCTAAAATATCTTATGAAACTGCTTTTCGACATTTAATTCATACACCTGACAATCAACTTCTTCACATAGCTCTTCATGTATCTCTTATAACCGGTCATAGTCGAATGGATTTACAGCAATTAGGTGAAAAATTAGGTGTCCAACGGTATCATTTTGATATGGGTTCAATTAAAGATTCAACAAAAGCTTTTCAAGATCTGATAAAATTATTACGTGAACAAAAACTAAAACGAGAACGTGAACAACAATGTGTTGATATTAGTAAATTACCATATAAACCAAAAAAGAAACGAGGTCTTAATGCCAATGTTTCAGGCACAAAGTTTGCTGTTGGTAAGTTATTTTTGTTTTCACATTTCAAGCGTTCGTTTTGTTTACTGAGAAAACATTAAAAGAAACCTTGAAAAGAACAACATCTCTCTCAAATATACTAAATCAAACAACAAGGTTGAGTTTATTTCAAAATCATTGATTTTCATAGTCATCATTATCATAATACTTTTAAAAATAACTATCATCATGAAAAATATCAATTAATTTGTAAAAATGATTATCTCTTCATGTTGAAAGACAGTATTCACTTATTAATTGTTGATCACTTGTTTGATTCTGAAGTATTGTTGAAACAGAATATTCCAAATATTGGACCAGTTTACGACTATAATGCGATTTCATTATATTATTTTGTAAGATCGATCAAGCACGAATAGTCAAATGAATCGGAAACAGAATTATTTCCGATTAAGGAGGAATTGGTAGAGACTTTCTCTTTCTATAAGTTACCAAGCTTTGCGAAATTTTTGACAGTCTTGCAAAAAATCCTGACAGAAATGAGGTTTTACCTCTGCTTCTGACATATATTTATATGAAGATACTTTCTATTAAACAAAATATCACAAAAAGTCGCATGAAGACACATTCTACCGAATTTTCACTCTCGAAAACAATTGGGAATCCTGGTTAGAAGTAATATTGTTGTGGCCACAAAAAGCAAATTGTGATTTCTAAACCGCAATTTTTGATTTATTTATGGAGTTTGTAGAACATGTAGAAATTAGGAGAGAAAGTAAGTATCCTTCGTTTATATCATGATGATTATATCTTGAAAAGTAGAATCATCAATCACATTTTTCCAGTACATTTATGAATCTATTAAATTTATAAATACGAGAAGAAATTTATCAAAATACCAAATAATAATTAACTTAATTTTTATCGTTTCATTATATTACAATCGATAGAATAGATGACAAAATGATCAGAAAAAAAGAACAATATATTGCAATATAATACTAACATCTTGTGTAATTAATTATATGAAGATAATTGTCAAAAATTACAAAAATGAATCATGATTCTTATCTATTTGTAAACAACTGATTTTAAATAATATAAAAACTCTGTTATTTTAAATCAATACCTTTTTACTTTAGTTCGTCAAGCTGCTGATGTATTCGGCTTTTCTATAAGTTCCGATAATGATATTACTTGTAATCTATTGTGGAATGATACATTGATATCGATGGATATTGTATCAGCGCTGAAACCTTACCAGAAAGTAAATCATTTTCCAACAATGAGTGAAATTTCACGTAAAGATTTGTTAGCTAGAAATTTTGATAAGTATGTTTTATTAAGCTTTTTTTTTTCGTCGATTTCGAATTTATATTTATTACAGATTATCACGTATTCTACCGGATGAATATAATTTTACGCCTAGAACATGGATATTACCAAATGAATATAATACATGGTATTCATATGCTTCGAGTAAGGCGAAAAAAGATCAATGTACTTATATTCTTAAACCAAATAATGGTGCGATGGGACATGGGTAATTTTATTATTTTTTTCTCAAATTTTATTTTTTAATTGAAATAATTATTTAATAGAATTCAAGTTTTTTGTGATTATGAACGAATTCAATCAATGGATAATTATATTATTCAAGAATATATTCGAGAACCTTATCTTATCGATGGTTTTAAATTCGGTAAAATATTTTTTCTTTGATTATTATTTATAATTTTTTTATTCTTTTCTTTTAATAAATAAGATCTTCGAATTTATGCATTATTAACATCATGTGATCCGCTTCGTGTATTTATTTTTAATAATGGACTTGTTCGTATGAGTACAGAAAAATATGAAATACCTAATCGCAAAAATGCTGTATATTATTTTATATAAAAAAGAAAAAGAAAAATAATTTTTTTGAAATTTTCTAGTCTCATCTTTTTATGCATTTAACAAATTATTCAGTAAATAAATATAATGTTGATTATGAAATTAGTACATCAAATACTAATGCCGAGAATACAGGAAGTAAACGGTCACTTAAATTTTTATTTGAATATTTACGAACACAAAATCAAGATGCAACTACACTTTGGAAAGATATACAAGTAAAACTAAATATTTCAAGAAAAAAAAACGAATGAAAAATCAAAATATATTTTTTTTTCTTCAAAGAACATTGTAATAAAAACAGTATTTCTTGCTCAACCGCATTTATTTGCTGCTTATCGAATGTGTCGTCCCGGTGCTTCACCATCAAGTGAAAGTGTTTGTTTTGAATTACTTGGTTTTGATATACTAGTTGATAAAAATTTAAAACCATGGGTACTTGAAGTATGTATTGAAAACTTTCATTTATTAGTTAATGATTTAACGAAAATAGGTAAATCGTTGTCCAAGTTTTGGTACTAATGAGCAAATTGATTTTGATATGAAAATGAAATTATTACTTGATACATTTGAATTACTTCGTTTTCGAACATCAGACAGAAAAAAAAGTCTTGCTATTGAAAAAGCTGAAGCACAACGTCGTTTATATTCAAATATGGGTAAAACTAGTCGTTTATTGGATGATGCATCACTGATTCTTTCAAATGGAAACTATCGAGATGTTCGAACTCGACAAAAAAGGCTTGCTGATGTCGTATGTTTAAAATACTATACTTCTAATCTTGATAGGAAATTTTTATTTTTCAATAGAAAGAAAAATTATATCTTCTTCAACGTGAAACAGCTCGTGAAACCTTTGAAAATCGTCATTTAGGAAGTTTTATACGTTTATTTCCCGTTGAAGATAGTATTCGAATGAATGAATTAATGATCATATTAACAAAATGTTTTGATGTATTATATGCAAATAAAAAAGATTTATCATGGAGTACAAAATATTATAATCGATATAAAGAAGAAGAATTATTAGAACAATTAGCTGAACTTGAAGATCTTGATCAAACTGAACAAAAACGAAATCCTCGTTTAGCTTTTGTGAGTATTTCTTTTTCCTTTTGGATAGAAAAAAGAAAATCTTTTTTTACGTGATAAAACGAAATATCGAAGAGAAAAGATTAAAAAAAAGACTATCAATTCTATACGTGGTGCTTTCAGAGTGCTCCAAGTAGCAAAAGTTCGTTTTCATCATGGTCAAGTGTAAACCTTGCCGAAGTAAGTTTTTAATCAATCGTTACACTATTTGTTGTTGCAATTTGTTATTTTATCACCTTTGTACTCACCAATTTTATATCAATATCCATTGTTAGTTCACTATATTATTGATTTTCCCATTGAGTCATGATGTTTGTATCATATATATTTCAATATTCTGCACAAAATTTTACTTATTACTTTTTTTTTCACATTGTTTATTTCTTTTTAATATAGGTATCAAATAATAGTCTTCCAATAGAACGTACATCTCCATCAGCTAGTTTTGCATCCGAATTAAGTGATGATGATGATGGTCAACATCAAGTGAACTCACCCGTACCGTCTGATTTAGTTAATAAAGCAACATCATCAATAACTACTATAACAACAACTAGTTCTTTATTGAAAAGATATACAACACAATCACGAACAAATGTACTTCGTCCAACACCACTATCACCATTAATTATTCGAAAACAACAGCAAATATCAGTTGTTTCTTCAAATACTCTTCGACGACCAACCTTACGAACACAAGGAAGTCCATCAGACATGAAATCAAATCGAATAATTGATAAGAAAATTTATTCAACATCATCAAGTCAAAATACAGATCGACAAAGTCCACAATCTCGAATAGCATCCAGAGGAATGAATAATCATTCTCAAATGGTTACATATACAACAATTACACAAACACCTAGAAAATTATTAAATAGTAATACATCATCTGTTGGTCGATCAACATCATTCAATACTCCTAAAGTTCGTATAAATTTTTATAATAAAATAAACTAAAAAATTTATATTCTTGTTATGTAGGAATTACAAATGAGTGATGCTGACTTGAATCGTCTCTATCAATTAACACTTGAACAAATGCATCAATTATGTATTCGCTATCCAAATAAATCTGATGATGAAACACGACAAATTTGTCATGAAATTGTTGAAAATTGGAATAAATATCGAACATCAATAGGAGAATTTTGGTTATCGAAATTAGATACACGAAAAAGACAAGCAATTATAAGAATCGTTTGGAATAATGTTCAACAAATAATGAAACAATTATGGAAAATTGATCAATATGTTGAACAATTATCATTAAGTAAACATTTAACTAAATTAGAACAACGTTTATTAGCTAATAATGGACAATATTTATGGGATATATGTCAAAATCGATATAAGTATGTAAAAACAAAACATAATTTTTTCATTTATTTTTATTTTTGCTTTTTTTTTTAAAGTTCATGGGGATCATCATTGATAACAAGTACAAATCGTGTATCTCCAATTGAATTAGCTTGTTGTAATCGTTTTATTGAATTATGTAAACAAGCTTTATTTATTGTTTATCGTTATTCAATTGATGAAAAAATTAAAAAACAGCAACAACATCAAACAGAAGGATCAACAATAATGGTTATTTCATAAATCAGTGAAAAATATTTTTCTACTAGTTATAGTCAGTTCTGTTTTTTTCCGGTGGTTGGTATTTTTCTTTACAATAATTTTTTTTTAAATTAAAATAATGCATGCAAATTATTCTCATTTATTTCAAAAAAAATGTTAACAAAGAAATTTTTTCATCCGACAGAATTTAACGAAAGTTTGTCAAATCTATGAAACAATTATAAATTAAATTTTATTGAGTTTGAATAAATATATAGACATTCCAAATAAACAAAGATCATTTAAAGCAAGAGAATGAATACACTTTTGTAAAAAAATAGCTTGTAATTGTTGCTCGTTAAATACATAATTTATCGTAAGTCTACAAATCAGAGCTGAATAATTCAACTTATTGATTCGAAAAAATTTCGTCAATTAAATTCAATTCGCGTTAATAATTAAATGAGTTATTCATTATCCAAATTAATAGAATTATACACCTGTACATTAAAAACATAGATGGATGAGACAGATATGCGTATCATATATGTACTCAAAACGATTAGCAATAACACTATGCAAACGTAAAAGCTAAATATAGAACTGCAAGTATGATTCAGACACTTTGAAACAAAGGACCTAAAGAAACATTGCAAAAAAAATCACGACCTTTTATATTTCTGAGATTTTGTTTTACAAAATTTGTTTTTTTTCTTCGCTAGAATTAATAGAAATTTGATTTTTAAATTGCATTGAATTGAATTCACAGATCTTCGAAAACTTCTTTCAATTCAATTTAAATCAATTTGTAGAACTTTGTACAATGTTCTAATTTAATGCACTTTAAGTCATGAATTGAATTGAGTTGTTCAGTTCTGCTACAAATGAACTATGTTTACCAAAAGAATTATCTATGTTGTCAACTTTTTGAATAATATCATACTTAAAAAACAACAAGATTGTCCTAACCTTAATCACTGATCAAAATCTCATTTTTTAATGAAATTGAATCTTACAATATCTCTTCATATTTGTTCTTCTATTCTGATAGATGCAGATAGAAGAAAACTCATACTAATCTCGATTCATCATTCATATAGGTTTTATATATATTCAAAGAACTGCAAAGATTATTTAAAAGAAAGATTTGATAGACTTCGAAAACGAAACTAGGATTTAGAAAACAAAATGCAAAAAAAGCGACTTTAGAGATTTCTATATAATACCAATAAATCAGATCTATTAGAGAATTAGTTCATTGTACACTCTTGGATACGATACAAATGTAATTCGATAATACAATAAGAACCTATTCGTCATACAAAACTAAATATTCTAATTCAAGTCTAATATTTTGAAAAAATTCTTACGTGTATAAAGGTGTTGTAAACAATAGAATAGATATAGTTCATGACACAGATGGAGATATTTCGATTTTCGACTGAAATAACATTGATTAATGCTTTATTATGATTAAAATGTGATGTAAAGGTCGAAATCCATTTCACAGCAATCGAAACTTGTATTGACTTCAATTTTTTTTTAAAGAAAAAAGCAAAGTCTGGACAGCACAATATGAAAAAAATGGCAGTTATCAAGAATTGAATTTCATCAGTCAAATTGTAATAAAAATTCAATGTCATTCACAGTTCGTCACATAACATTAAGTATTATAAGTCCAAGAAACTTTTTTCATCAAACGCCAAAAGTTTTGTTTTTATTTTGAGATGAAATCTCACATAATACAAATAGTTATTGGCTCATTAAATAAATAAAAAGATTAAAACTAATACAAGATTTCATAGCTGATATTTTTTCGAAATTCCTGTACAGTTTTTTGTACTCTTATGCTTATTTTACATTATGACATAATACATATACAACATCGATCTTTCTAGTTAAATTAAACATATAAAGCGTATCGTTCTTGAATTGTCTTTGATTGTGTTCATCGGTCAAATCGAAAATTAGAAAAAAAAGAGACATACATAACCGGTCATCGATCGTTCAATCAATATTCACCTTGAATCTTTTTTGATTGAACGATGATAAGGACGCCATTTTTCATAGGTTCTATTACATAAAAATTTACCTTATTTCATTCATTTGAATATATTGACGAACTATATACATTCGCAAAAAAAAAATGTTTGAATATAGCCATCCTGATCAATATATTCTTTCAAGTTTATGTCCATATTCTTGCTCAATTGTTGACTTTGCTCTTCGTATTGGTGGAATATTAGATCCTGAATTTTTAATACAATGTAAAATAACAGATAAAAAATTAAAAAAACAAATTGATGGATTAAAACAAATTCCATTACAATTTGAACCATTACCATCTACTTTTGATTATCAAGAAGAACTTTTTCTTGATATGGGTATACCAGATAAAAAAAATTTCTATAATTCATGGGAATTTAAACAATATAATTCATGGTTACATGATGAATATCAATGGAATATAATGGATATACTTAACGACGATCTTATTATTTAAATAAACTATGTCAATCAAAGGGTTCTTTTAATATATTGTCATTATCAATCTCTATTCGAATAAATTATCCTGTATGTTTTTTTTCTCAATTGTTCACCTTGAATTAAAGGAAACCTCATCCTTGACGAGCATTAAGTATTATTAATGTGTGTATGTTTTTGAATCAACAATATGCCAAAGCTTTCTTTTTATGCTTTTTTTCCTCATACAAAATAAAGTGATATGCTTGAGTAAACATTGCATATATAGTGTATTCGTCTATTGATCATTTTTTTTTCTTTGCTTCACATATATCGTCACACATATCAACATTTATACAAACCACAAAATACATAATGTCGTTGGATGAGCTCGTTGATATGTATAATCAAAAGTTGAATTCTTATGGTGGTCGATCAACAATTGCAACTGATCCATCACATAATACTCCTCAATCAATGTTTACAACGAATACGGGATTTGATTCTGTAGTTGATACAGCAAACATAGCTAACGCAGCAAATATAGCAAATACAATGATAAATAATAATAATAACAATTTTGCTTTTACTGAAAATGAAGCATCAGCATTATTATTTGATACAGATTCATATCGTTTTCACCTAAACGATCGTGTACTTGCTGGTGACATAATTCGACCACCTACACAAAATCCTCCACGTGTTGAACATATTAAATTTACTGATACACTTGTATTTTCATCAAGTGATGCAGCAATTGACGATTATGAACATAATGAAGAATATACAAAAAGATATCCTGATGTTAAACCAAAATTAACTATAATAAATGCTCAACAAGCACAAATACCGCCTGCTAATATATATACAAATCCAGGAGAAGAAATTCAACGTTTAGTACAACAAGGAGTACTAAGGAATTTGCACGGGTAGAAAAAAAAAGAAAGAAATAATTTTTTTTTTCTTTAAAAAACATTCTTTCTCTTTAGTTATATAAAGTATCCATATAATTATATTGAACCTCCTTGGTATTTTAATCAATTAGATGAACAACAAGGTTTTGTTAATCTGCAACCACCTCGAAGTTATTTAACAGCTCGAGATATTGCAATAAATACGATTGATGAATCCCATAACATGCAATTACCTCATGGAGTTCCTCAAAATCCTATTACACAAGATCGTTATGAATTAATTCCACTACCTAAAATGGTTTATGAAAATTTTGTTCCATTAATTGCAGCACGTCGAATTGTTTATCATCGACAAACACCTGGACGTGTTGCTGGTGAAGCACCTTCTCAAAATATAGAAAATTCTTTTGTAATGGCTTCGTTACCTGAAGTTGAAGAAATGACAGTTAAAGTTTAGGATCAAAAACACAAAACTCATTTTATTTGTCGAACTTTTTCTAAAAACATATTTTCTTCTTTTGCAATATGTTCAATGGGCAAAAGCAATTCATTTATCATATTCTCAATTGGTTTTGCACATTGTTCAGCTTCAATGGCAAATAATATTTGATTAAGTATAGTCAAATAACAAAAAATTTCTAATAAATTCCATTCATCATCTGTTAATAACATTTCTCTTGCATTTTGATAAACAGATAAAAATTCTTTTGCATATTCAAAATTAAATATTGATCCAACTCCACACCATAAACATAAAGTCATAGCTAAATCAATTAATAATGGGCCAACATACATGTCATCAAAATCAAGTACAGCAGCAAGTTTATTTTCATTTGGAGAAAAAAGAACATTATCATCATGAATATCAGCATGAATATAACCAATAGGCAAATTTTTCACAAGATTTTTTTCAAAAATATCTTGCTCATCTTTGTCACTAAGTAAAGGAATTGATTTTGTATGCTGATCCGTTATTAGACGTATTCTTTTATATAAATCTGGATATTCTTTTTCAAATTGTTCACATGAATGAACAAGTTCATATTTAATATCAATAAAATTAACTGAACATCGGTTCGATGCAACAAGTTTGAATTTTTTCGTTTTAATATTTGAATGCATGCGACCAAGAAATCGACTAATTTCTAATGTTTGCCATAATTGACGAACCGGTGTTTCAGGTGTATCTAAATATTTAATTCCATGAATAAATGGAAAGAGAACACAATAATTTTCATTATTAAATGTAAAAATTCCAGGTGGATCAATCATAGGTGCAACAGGAAGATTAAGTTCATTGAAAAGATAAGCAATAAAATCTAATTCAAATTTAATATTTTCATAAGATATTTTTCTTAATGTTCCTGGAAGATATTGACGAAGAATATAGATTTTTCCATTAGGTTTTGTACTAAATCTCAATGTTATATTTGTCCATCCATTTGTTAATCGTTCGATAGACGATGCCAGTTCACCTAATGAATATTTATTCAATATTAAAGTAAGTTGATCAGCAGTTATTATATTATCACTCATTTTTTTTTGAATAAATCTATAGCCTTTTACTCGATAACATACTAATGCTAAAACAATATTTTTACTGTTCCCCGGTGAAATATTTACCCAGATAACGAGACAAGGCTTTTTATTTTTGTTATCAGTAAA